CCAGCGCAATAGTCTACCAAAGCAAGCATGTGGAGCTACCTGTTGTGGTGACCCCTTGTGGCAGGAGAGGAGCTGAAAGTCACTTTTTGAATGTCAGCACTTTACCAATTTCACACAGGCCTCAACAGCTAAAACATTTTCCTGCACGTCTCTTTTCCTGCCAGTTCTCGCCCCATGATGACATGAAACATTGGTAGTGGGACTGAACTTGTTGTAGGGTCGAAAGCATGATTCACAGACACTGTCACCCAGCACGGTGAATGATGAACTTTCCCTGAATGTGATTTGAAAGTTTCTTTTTCATTCAAATGTTGCAGCTACAAATTCCAGGGACGTAAACTCGTGTAACGCTTGCTAATTTGGAGTTGTATGGCGATGCCAGTGATGTTCTTTGGAGTCAGCACTTAATACACTGGATGACATTTTAATATTATTATCATTACTGCTGATATTAGGCACTTCCACAGGTCTCTTTGCTGTTTTATCATTAAGTCCTAACTAATCTAGTACACGGCTGAGATTGTATAAAGTTATGAATAACACCTGCAATTATATTTCAATAACTGATGTTACCAATTAGACATTTTAATACATAAAGCCCTGATATTTCCATATGATTGGAATTCGTCCAAACGGGGCTGCATGGCGTCAACGCGTTAGCGCGGTAAGCTCGTTAAAGCGTTAGCGCCGTCCAGTCCCTCGCTAACGGAGATTTGCCACGTTAATGCGGTTATGGTGTTAACGTCATTTTGACAAGATTAATGCTGACAGCACTAGTAATTTAATAAATAATCCAGCAGTAAGAAGTCGCTCATTCAGGTGTCACCTGTTTGTAAAATTTAAATAGTTTTATTTAAAAAAAGGTACTTTTAAAAGTTCGTTTTAAGGATCAGTGGAAACATTGGTTATGAAAACTTTCAGTAAGCAAGACTCAAGACGGTATCAAATTCATTTGAATAAATGTCGAGTGTAAGTGAATGTTGAGTCGTTAGGTCAGTTTCTACTGTACTTCTTAATGCTGTCGCATTAAAAAAAAAACTTTCTGAAGTTTTATTGTATCATTGTATCATAAGAATGAGTGTAAGGGAAGTAAAGATATATCAGTCCAGACAGAAACTAAACAGGGCTTTGCTGATGTATCTGGACTCAAAGGACTACAGCGAGCCTTTACCGTTAATCACATATGGATAAAAATGACAACACAATAATTGAGTGTGGGGGCCGGACTAGTAATTTCATAGAAAACAGGTTGCTTTTGTGCATGTCTGAGCGAGGAGGGCCTGGGATTCCAGGGCCTGGAAGGAGAAGAGCTCTGAAGAGAGGCTCACGGACCTGCCTCTTTACTATATGAGACAGCTCCAGCCACAAACAGACAAGGTTGTGTTTGGAAATATGTCCTGATCCCAGACACAACAAGTCTTTTTAAAGTGAGCCACACCCAGTCAACTGCTACTTCAACTGCACTCCATTCAGCTTCTGGGAAGAAGAGGAATACAAGAAGCCGATTCCTTAAAAGAAATCCACATGGATCAGGGAAAAGGATTAACACATCTCTCTTTTTTTTTTTTTTAATATAAAACATTAAATTTTTTACAGAAGCAAAAGAGAAAAAAAAAAAGAGTAAAATGTTAAAAGAAATGTGCCAAAGTGTAAAGTTTAACAGTAAAAGGGATTGTCAGGAATGATAAAGAGGGGCTATGACTTAAGATGTTGGGTGAAACAGAGAGATTTATAAGATTCAGCCAGACACAGAGCACACGAGCCACTTAAAGTCACTATGGAGTTTGCAGCGAGCCATAAAAATGACAGAGCACATGCATACAAACAGGCAGTGCGCTTTAAGTAAAGAAAAGCGTCCCGTGTCTACTCTATAAAAGTGAAATCCAGACGAGGCTTTTTTAGAGCACGACGTTTACTGACATACCCCCAGTTCTGCTGGTGTAAAGATACTTTAGATATAGCAAACACTGCAGAGACCACTGAGAAGAGGAACTGTGTGACTGCTGGGACTTTATCATCCTCTCTTAATAATGCGTTATCAGGGATTGTAACATCTAGTCCTTTTACTGAATCAGAATGAACTATTAAAGTGGCTGGCACTTTGGACAGAAGCTCCTGTATTTTTTGTTAGTGGTAACCTCCATCATAGTTAATAGTGTATTTACATTTACTGACATAAAAAGTAAGTTCAGGTTTTTGTGAGGGTTCGGTTACTCAAAACGCTTCTCCTGCCAAGCATCCTCATACAGTGCAAGCCATTTGTGGTAGGATAAAAAACACATATGTGAAGTGCTTCTTTTTCTGTGTTTTCAGCCATATCACTGCTATGTTTGTCTTTAAATATCAAAAACTACATTCTGGCTTACACAAGAAGTACATAACTGCAGCTGCTACTTTCTCTTGTGAGCTTTCTTGCCAGTTGTCAAGTTGGGCCCCAGTTACACAGACCTAGAGGCCAGTCAACGGCAATGGCAACCACTTGTTGCTGGAGAAAACATTCCCAGATTGGTTGGTGAGCGGTCTCTTGCTGTTACTAAGTGAAATAGGTCTCAAAGAAATATACAAGAACGTCCTTGCCTGGTTGCCTATTGATTGTGTTGAAGACACCGACTTGTTTGCAAACACTTGCAAACTGCTTGTCGAAGCAGTAGTGAAACTGTGAACAGTGAGGCCCAAACTTCCAGAAACTACCCACCAACTAACTGAGGAACACACATTTTTCCTTAGCAACCAGAGGCTGACAACCTGTCTCTAGGACTTGTGACAAAAGTGTAATATGTGTCATAGCAGCTAAAAATGTAACTGAAAACAATAATATTGACTATAAATTCGGGTCTGTTAGTGAACTAATTATAGTTTAGTAATTTTAGGAAATATGTATTTTATAAAATTCCTTCCATTTTTTCTACTGCTTACTTGCCTCGCTTCTGTCAGTCTGCCCCAGAGCAGCTGTGGCTACAACTGTAGCTGCCTCCACCAGTGTGTGAATGTGAGAGTGAATGAATAGTGGAATTGTAAAGCGCTTTGAGGGTCCCAAAAAGCGCTATATAAATGCAATCCATTATTATTATTACTGTTCCCAACCTGGCTAAGAGACAGAATCTCTCCAGTGTGCCCTGGGTCAGGACCAGAGATGGGCAGTAACGCGTTACTGTAATCTGATTACTTTTTTCAAGTAACGAGTAAAGTAAGGGATTACTATTGCAAAAACGGTAATTAGATTACCGTTACTTTCCCGTAGGAACGCTGCGTTACTGAAACCGTGATTTTTTGCGAGAATGTCTCACGACAGTGACGTAAGCGAGTGCGACGTTAGTGACAACAGCTGTGTGCAGATCAACAATGGATCACATATCGATTGTGGGAGAGAGTATGAGCGTGCAGCGTTTAAAGCGTGGAAGTACTGACCTTACTTTGAGTTTGATTCCATAAAAAGTGACAAAAACATTAGCGTCCATCGTGCGTGGGAAGAAAACTTCTTTTTACAGCGAAAAAAACCCCTAAACTTCCAAGCAAGCACCGAGTGCGCAACGACGTAATGCGCAACTGACCGCGGCACACCTGCACCAGGGTAAACCTCCGCCTACCGCAGTCCTGCTTTACAGGTGAAAATAGAGCAACAGGACCGCTGAGTCTTTGACTTTATTTATTTTCTGCTGTGTTTTACTTGCATCTATTTGAAAGAGTGAGTGTAAACACAAAAAATATTTTATTTTATGTGCTGGAATGTGCAGAAAATAGGTTTAAATGTTAAACTAATTTATTCAAGTCAGAGAATGTTGCATATAATTAAATTTTTGCTTGATGCATAAAGTTAAAAGATTAAAACTGATAAAACAAGTTAAAAAAAGAGACTTTTCCATTTGATTACATTTTGTATGATGGATTATGTAGAAAAAGTAGAATTGGGCTGAAAGATCTATCGCTTTATCACCTCTTCAGGTTGTAAATCGTGTTTTTAAAAAGTAACTAAGTAACTATAATTAATCTTTTGAAAATAAGTAATCAGTAAAGTAACAGGATTACTTTTTTGGGGAAGTAATCAGTAATTAGTTACTGATTACTTTTTTCAAGTAACTTGACCAACACTGGTCAGGACTGGGATCTCCTCCCAGTTGAGCATGTCCAAAGCACCTCATCTAAGGTGTTCAGGAGGCATCTGAGTCACATGTCCAAACCACCACAACTGGCTCCTATCAGTGCAGACAAAAACTGGCACTACCCTGAGCACCTCTGGGTGACTGAGATCCTTACCATATCTCTAAGTCTTGGCCTAGACACCCTTTAGAGACGGATGATTTCTGCTGTCTTTATCTAAAACCGTATTCTTTCAGTCCTTTGCCAGAGCTTCACACCCTTAGCCACAGGTGAGGGGAGGAATTTTAAATCGATTGGCTTTACCTCAGCTTTCTCTTTTCCACAGACAGTAAAAGTGTCTGTATCACTGCAGATGTTGCACCAATCTGCTTGTCAATTTCCTGTTCCACTGTCTAATCTTAAGCAAGTCTATAAGACACTTGAACTCAACTCATTCCCAACTCAAAGTGGGCAATCCACTCGTTTCTATTTGAGAACCTTGGCATTGGTTATTGAGGTGGTAATTCTCATGCAAACCACTTCCTACTCTCTCATTTTTAAAAATTATAACGCTCATTCGATTAAGTAACATGAAAGCAGTGTTTCTCAAGCTCTTTCGTCTCTATACAACAATACGGGGACTCATCATATCTGGTGTGTTCAAATTTAAACTTCCAACCCCAACAACTGTCACAAGACAGAGTCGGAACACTGCAGTATACCACTGAAAGCTTTAATAATACAGAGTACTGCTGGACCACACACCTAATAAATGGACACAAATGATTAAAGCTGCTTATAATGAGACGTGTAGAGAAGGGGCATGTGCCACCTTGCATACTTGGATCATAGAATGTGAAGAAATACCTGTTGCTCAGTGCTGAGTGATGTAATTATTAAAGTGTGTGGTTTCCAACACTGACCTTGTGGGTCTGATCGGCATGGTGGGTTACTGTCTTTCTTTCCTCTTCCCAGCGAGCACTGGCCTCTTTTAGCTGCTTCTCCATTGCCGTCTGCAGACGTATCGCCTCCTCCTTTGAATCACATACAGACGTCTGTAGCTCCGCAATAAGCTGTGGGCAAGAAAAGTCAGGTTTTTGACTGATCCTCAAGTGTGTGCAGGATTGACAGAAACTTAACAGAAGTGGCAGTGACTAAATAAGATCATAACTTGGCCTGCTTGCACTTGGGAACCATTTTTTTTCCTAGTGCAAAGTTAACTTGGAAGTTCTATGTATTTCTATGCTTATGTTTGAAACAAGCGGCATAGTAAAGCGATCAAAGAGAGAAAAGCCTGTTGCCAGAAGCAAAATGCAAAATACGTTCGCTTAACAAAATGCTGTTCTGATTCGTTTCATTTCACTGGGCTTGCAAAAAAAGACTAGTATCAGATGGAAAATGCATTTTGCATTTGCCATGGCTTGGGAAGGCAGTAACAATCACCTTGAAAGACCGCTTTTCCCAGAGTCTCATGTCTTCTTTTTTGTTTTTTGAGACGAGACAGAAGACACAAAGAAGAGAGGGAGAAAGCGCAAGAGTGAGAAAGAAGAGGGAGTTAAAAAGAAATAGACAGGAAGGAAAAAACAACTTCCTTTTTGAAGAGCGGAGTGACTTTGTGTTGGTGAACTTGCGGTGCACACCAAGATGAAAAGGAAGTGTCTTGGCTTTGAAAACCTCCAGTCAAAATTAACATTCTATTTAAGCCACTGTCAGAGAAAGGCAGAGGAAAGATGAGAGAGTAAGAAAAAAAGAGAGAGAAAGAGAGAGGGAAGGGAGAAAGAGAAAGAGGTGAGGAGGAGGAGGAAGGAGGGTATTGCTGCTGCTTTGGGCTAGACAGATAATTGTTTACCATGTTCAAACTCTGGGGGACTAGCCCCGCTGGAATCTGCACATTGTGTGGGAGTATGGGAGCTAAAGCGGCGCGGGTCGACCACAGACAGAAAGAGACGGCAAGGGCGAAGGGGGGTGGAGGGGTGCTAGGGAGATTAGGCTTATTTAGTCAGTGGGACAGCCACATGAAAGCAACAAATGACACATCATTATGTGAACATCATTTCTGGTCATAATAATTATTTTGCAATATGGATTCCCTGCATTTGCTGGTCTTCAGCCCCGGGGCAGTGGCGGCACTCCAAACTAGTAAACTCAGCTGTCTGTCTTGTTACTCCTGTATATATATAT